GTGGTTGGAATAAGGCAAACTGGCTAAGCACAATAAGCCTTCTCAGGCTTCAGTACTCCATGGGGACAATTAGTCGGACAGGCCTGAGAGAGAGAAAAAAAAAGGTCTTCACATTTGGTTGCCCAGGTATGCTTAGTTTGGGTTAGTTACACTAACTGATCTAATTGAAGCAGATCAGCTGGTCAATTCCCAAACAAGGACGACTATGTCCTTGATATTACGTTGGTTACTACCTGAGACACTTTTTACAATATTCACACAATTGAAATTATACTATTCGCTTCTACTATTATAACGTACTTTTTTTGGCAATTGCCTAATTATACTGCATACGGCTAGTCAGCATCAGTCCGGAGGCCATGGGTCTATGGGTTCCTTGTATACATCTTACTTTTGGGCGCCACCAAGTTAATTGTGACTTAACTAGGAAGATTACTTATTGATGTTATAACAAAACTTGTACAATTGGAGCGCTTAACAATAAAACAACTAATTAGGTACAATAATGTATCTGGCTTTCTTTATTAAAAAATAATAACAATAATAATAGGGCGCCAAAAAGTGTAGCCACCAAGTAATTAGGACTTAACTATTGCGCCAATAAGTAGCCACGAAGTTATTAAAAAAGGTGTTTAGGATTAGGCTTGTACCTAATTTGTGAATATTTGAATAAATAAAAAAATTTAAATAATGAATATATGAATTTAAAATAAACAGTTTTAACTGTTTATTAACACTTGTGGAAGATTAAAAAAACAGTATGGGTTACACTCTACCAACAGGCAAATTCAACACCAGAAAGGTGAAAATTATTCTTTGGGCAACCTCAGGGTAAAATTCTAGAATTTTAATTAAGGGGCACGTACTGACGTAATTCGGTGTCAGATGATTTATATATGATTTGCCTAAATAGTAAAAGTGCAACTTACATGTATACAAGTGAAATGTATGTGAAAATCCAGAAATCTCCAAAGTGAGGTTATCTACAGATTTGGTCTCACTATAGATAGACTAAGGTGTGGTAAGTGAGTCATGAGTCCTATCCACGTGGTATCTGTTTAACGTAGAACTCGATGTGGTTCTGCCAGAATGGTACCAAGAGAGTTGCTGGAGGAAGGCTACGAAAGCCAACTAAGAGCAATCTAGATCTAGTCTAGAATCTCTTTCTAGGAGCTGTCCAACTATAGCCTAAGACTGTCTAGCTACAGCCTAGAACTAGGATTGTCCAACTATAGCCTAATAGTAGGACCCTATAACGATGTTCGTATAAAAAAACAAATCGAGCCCCAAATATTATAAATAATCTTACCTCAAATTGAGGGATACTCTAGACCAAAGGTGAAGCCTTAAACTTCCAAATGCTGCTCGGAACAGTCCTATTAAAAAAAATGGAACACGTGTTGTAGGTTAATATTTCCTGAAGAAAATCTCAAACTTACCTAAACAGAATCCAAAAATGACCAAGGGACGACTCTAGACAATTATCAGCAAGAAATTAGTCTAAAACTTGAGCTCCCTGGCACAAAATTCCAAAAAGTCTCGCCCCAAAAATAATTAGGGCTGAGGCCCGAGACCGGACGACTACTCAGCGTGAGGTCGCAGATCAACAGGGGCAGATTCTTCATTTAGATTTCGGAAGAAGACTTTCATCTGTCAAACTTCTAATTTTGACATTGAAGAAAATTATAGAAAAGTACGAACTGAGAATCGGTTGTGTAAAAAATGACTGGTGAATGTTGAAAAGTGCCTATGTTCTATATCAAAAGGTAGAACAGGTCTAAAGAAAACGCCTAGACAAAACAGCTGTTCAACGACATGATGGAAATGAAAAGTCAAAGAGTAAACAACAATTATTATCATAACCTCAGATTATTGATTGGATTTGCAAACAGAGATGATGATGGTACTAACTCCTTTTCCTAAGATTCTAATCAATAACAGCGGGCCCTGCCGTACTGAATCAAACCTTCCTAGATGAATTAACAAAACTTGCAAACCTGCACCAAAAAAAAACTTTCAGCAGAAGGCAGTACTCAAGGTAACAAAATCTGGGCACAGAAAAGATAGTTGTTTATTCATTTATTTCATTGTAGTTCTATATGGAATCATATCTACTAAAGCAAAACAAGGTATCTTATTAGCCAAGAAATTGAAAACGTTACACTATTTGAAAGCTTAAAGTTTTTCATTTTAAAAATTGAAAATCAATGATGCCATGCCATTTTCCGTCATGACCGCCTATTTTGGAAATAAAGTGAATATCATATACTAGAAATTATGATTTTGAACTGGAAGTATACTTATTCACGATCGTTCCTTTTACATCCGGTATTATGTTTCTATGTAGATAAACTTCAAGAAAATATTCAGTTACGCAATGAATTAAAACTCAAACAAATCCTTGGTTAAATATTATTTGACACATTTAAGTTATCTCTAAATTTATCGAAATATCACAAACTAATATCAGGACTGGTATGTCGGCAAGATGGCTTGCATATCTTTGCTAACTTCAAGCATTTTGAAACTATGAGTGATACATTACTCGATACTGAAAGTTTGGGAACCTCAATATATTCTGATCAACTTTCACCGACCGTCTTGGAAATTGGATGTATTCGGATAATCCTCTGAATAAATTTGTAAAAGTTTTCTGGGCGAGACTAAATTTTTGTGATGTTTTTTTTTTCAAATTAATTATCTCAAGAATAAAGATGTGATAAGTTGCAGTTTTCGACAATAAAACTCAAATGGGTGAAGTTTGACTTCCATCAAATAAAAATACCCGGAGAGGAATTTTTAAAATCACGTGTAGATGACATAAACTTTATTAAGGATGAATTACCGAACAACTTCTAAAAGCAGGAAAGAAAGCAGCACTAGAGGACAAAAACAAAAAGGGACAGATGGTAAACGCTGAAACAAAGCATTATTGATTCCTTTGTATTGATTTATTATTATGAAAGTCCTCTAAGCGATGAAGATGGAAATATAGAAAGATCAATAAAATAAAACAAGCAGTTATCAAAGAAGACATGAGAAAAAGGACGAAGCAATGATAAAGTCATAGAAGAGAACTAAGTTCTGATATGCTTCAGAAACAAGACTTGATACCTTTAAGGTAAATGGGTAGGTAATCCAGGTATCGGACACCTGCAATTTGTCCAGCAGCTTGAACAGGATTCACAGGATGCTAGTTTTTGTTACTTACATGATTTTCTGTAAAAATCCATAGGTTTTGGTGGGGTTTAAAATCAAAAGAATACTGTGTGGTGTGTGGTTTTATTAGACATTCTTTGATGTTAATAACTTACTTATGTTCTTCACAAAGGACTTATTAGGTAACCACTCACGTTAAACTTTGAAATAATTTTAGAAGTGAATAACTTGAATGTAAATCCCCAAATTATTAACGTATTCACATAACACATAACCCATAACCGTAAAAAAATATTATTTAGGTACGACAGCAGCGTGACATCAACACAAAAGTCTGGGGAGCAGACAGACGGAGCTCCGAAAGATGTCGAGCGATATCATAGCCATCGACCACGGCCACCAGATTACACGTATATTTAATGCAGAAAACTAAGCTCGCATAAAACGATCATTATTAAAATACAAGTTTAAATATGTATTTATTAATGTTGTTTATTATCGCCCATGTAACAGGATAATTCCTGAGATATGTAAATCTGTGAGTCGGGATTATGTCCGAGATCATCACAGGAATAGTCCTGAGCTATGGAAAAAAACTCGTATCTAAATTTTGAGCCTTCAAAGCCTTCGTAGTTTCTAATTTCTATACATCGATATTACAGGTCTTTTTGATGAAATTGCTGAATACAAAATATTAGGAACAGTAGGTAACGGTATATTTTATAGAAAGGGTTCAATGGTTAAAAACTGGAAACAAATATCAAAATTTAATAGGTATGGTATGTATATGCCCAGGTATATGTTTTTTTATTATAATGCAAAATTGTTGCATACAACACTCATTTTAGTCATTTTTGAATAATATTTAGTCCAAAAATGATTGAAATATATAGCTTACTTATGGGAAAATCGTGTATACATACGAGATTTTGCGAAAATTACTCCTACCTAGTGCGGAAAATATCCTAAACTAATTAATTTAATAACTTATCTGAATGATACCGTTTTTTATTTATAAACCTACAATCACAAAATTGACTTGAATTTAGAAAAAAAACTTCTCTTCTCTCGTACCTATGAGTAAATGATATAATGAAATGTGGATCAAATACGTTCGGCGGACGGAACTTCGACGCCCTTGCCCTTCGCTTCGACGGCTTCGCGACACGCTGACGTTCAGGAAAGTTCGGAGCTCCGTCTGTCTGCTCCCCAGACTCTTGTGACATCAACACTGCATGGAGTATATCTGTGCACTGAAAGTACTGGTCGTCAAGGGCATTGTTGAATAGATGTCATTCATGCGTAAACAGTCTTTGAATAGCCAAATTTTATTTATTCAGACTGGGTGTTTACCCAACAATACCATCATAAAGATGGAACAAAAAAAATCGCTTCAACCAAATGTCGGTTCCAACCAGATATCGAAGAATTGGAAATCGAGAAAGCTGATCGAAACGGCCTGAAAAACAACAAGTCTCCAGAAGAAGATGGAGTAAGTGATTTCAATCTGGCAAACAAAGAGGAAAAAAAATCTTAATTTTTTCGATCAATCAGCCATCAGGAATCCATAGACAATAATTCTCCTGGTTCTCGTCAGTTGTTGTTTTCCATATTACCAGGCATTATCTTTGATTGATTTTGCATCTAGGAAATAGTTCATAAATGACCAAATCTATTAAAAATACTTATGATTGCGGAATGCTTTTAGATGAACACTTAAGTGAAAGAAGCAACAGGATCTGAAAGGTCGGAAGGGGTCATAGAAAGCGCACGCTTGCCACGATTCGCAGGCGACTGTGCGACGGGTTAAGCCGTTACGGCCACATTTTGAAGCAAGTTCGCAAAGAGCAAAGTTCTGCACCAGCTCTCGGTAGAAAACTCTCTCGTATCCGAAACACATTTTCAGTTGGTTAACTTTTTGGTTTGTGGGTGCTAGAAATACTGTTTCGAAAGTGGCCGGTAAGTTGCTTGTTCTTTTTTAAAATGCTTTCTAAGTGGATCTATGCAGTTTTAAAAACTTTTCGGAAAGTTTCTTGACGTTCTTTTTTTTCAAAATCAAACTTTGAAATTAAAATGAAACACTCAAGAATTATGAAAAGTAAGTAAAAGCGTGTATGGAATATTTATTTTGAGCACACGCCGCTCTGAGTTTTCTGAAAATACTGAAACAAATTGAGTGGGTTTTTGAAACTCAGATTTTTCGCGCGCGTAGTTTAGGAACGGGGACAAGTTTTTAAATTTAAATATGTAAATTTTGGCGTGAGTGGAAAAAGGGGTATTTGTCGAGATATTTTTGATGGGAGATTTTTAGTTTTATACTTTTTACTAACATAATAGACATTGGTACTCATAATATGTTTATTAATGACTCTCATTTTGTTTTAAAACATTCTGATGTTATTCAAAATCGATTTCTTCTTAGGCTGGTAAATGATAGATATATAGCAAAAAAGTTTTTAATTTATCGAAACAGAATAATAAATAAATACTGAATTAATTTACCGAAACAGCCCTTAAATAAATAATGCAAAGGAATTGTGCCTATCAAGAGAGTAAAACTGGAAAAACTTGAAGTGGAGTACAACAAACAAAGTTAAATGTATTATTGATTCAAAATGCATTAGATTTAATAACTAAATCCTTTGTAGAATGAATCATTAATTATTTTATAAAGAAATTTTTTGAAAAAAATTATAACTCGCCACCAATTATTTGGCTAATTAATTTACACAGTAATAAAGGCACCCGAAAGTCTTTTGTTTTCAGGTAATTGGTGCTTTTTTTTTGCTGTAGTGAATTGAGTACTGTTAGTTTTGATTTTGAAGCGTTTTTGTTCAGTAATTATATCTACTCAATAAAAAATCATTTTTATTTCTAGAAGTTACTGGAAAAATATTCTTTTGTAATTATGAACATATTTCCAATCTTAATTATATTTTTCTACTGGCGTTTCTTCGACTCTTTGATCCTTATTTTGGTTTCTAAATTATATACTTTTAAAAATATAATTTAATAGAAATTATAAATTAATACACTAAACGCATATTTCCAATACTTGGCAACTTTGTTGTCCTGTTGATAGAGCCTTCACTAATAATTATTGTAAAACATTTTCAAACATTTGTTTGCATATTGGAAATGCTCATTTTAATGAAAGGTATTTCATCTTTAGCAATCCTAGTGTTCTCCTGTCACATGCATTTTCTTAATAACTATTCTCTTTTGTTCTAACTGCTTTTGGGCAATACTGGTTTGAGAGTTGATTTCCTTCTGGTTATTTGATGTTTACTGGAATTTTGTTGAATCAATCAGGAACCTACCTATCGATAGTTCTGATCGATGTAGACCTTATTATTATTTATTATCAATTTCCTGTTTTAAACAGAAATCCTCATTTCTTTTCAACTATGATTCAATAAGAGGTACCTAGTTGATTTTGGTCCCCAAATTTAGTATCTACGTTTTGTGGCATTTGACTGAATTTTAATTATGATATTTTTTATTTACATGGCGAATCAAATTACCAATACACTTGGGATAATTTTCCTTTTTGGTAAGTCAACCATTCTTTTTAAGAACCAACCCATTTTGGAGTTCAATGCTAAAGCCACGAGAAAGCAATAGTGTTGCGGATCAGGCAATTGCACCTACCTACAACCCTAATGACTCAAAGGGGTCGCATTATTTATTATACCATGAATGGGAGGGGCGTCAATAGCAATATTTCCAGTCCAGTAACTTGATTTGTTACGCAAATTAATAAAAAAATTTCGAATTGAAATTTCAATAAAAAAATATAATTTTCTGATAAAAAAAAATACCAGACTTTGATTAACATATCTTTTTAAAACTCTTAAATCGATATTCGTTGGAAATCGGACAAGAAAAAGTCGTCAAATCATCCACTTAAAAGTGTTTTACCACAACCTTAAATTACTTTTCCTTGGAGTTTTTGATTTGCAATACATTTCGTTTAAATTCAACAAAAGATGTTTTTGAAAGTAAATTAACAAAGCAAAGCAGCGTTCCAGGTTAGAAACCGAAAACTTGACGGGAACTGAAGGTATCTAGACAAGGCAGAGAAAAGGAATACAACTTTGTGGAACTTCCCACAGCAATGTTTTTTAAAGCTCACAATTTCAAATTCTAACCTTTGGTATTTAAATAATCGGAAACAGCCTTTTTGATGCAAAACCAAACATTTTATAATTCGCTCTATTTAAAGGAAAAGAATTTGGTAACCCTTCGAGAGTTTAATTAATTACTGCGTTATCGGATTAGAATTTTATTGAGAATTTCAGAAGCTTTTGGTATTTTATTAAGTACGAACAGAGGCACAAAATTGAGATATTTGCTAAAAAAAAGTTCCAAGAGCTTATTGAAACTATAAATTCATCATAATTAGGGTGCAATTGGAGGGCGATTTTGCCGTCACTTGCCTTATCATACTTTTTAAATTTATTAAGGTGCTTAATCCACCACAGTGAATATTTTTTCGGAAGTATTTCCCTTTTGGATTGTCAAGTTAAAACGAAATCGACTATTTTGTGTGACGCAAATTACATTATATTTCAGTAAAACAAGGACATTTTTAAGTTGAATAATTGAAATAATTAACATAAGAAAACCTAAGGTTCAAGATATTCTTACAAATGGCGGGCGAATCGGCTAAGGATTATAGACCCATCAGTCAATCAATCAATCAATCAAAATATACTTTATTGTCGGAAAATAAGTTTTATTGACAAAGCATGATGTTAGGTAACATGCAAGTAATCGTCCATCCTCGTTTCTCCTAAAAACGCTGGAGCAACTGGTGGACACATTCATCAATGAATTGGCATTAAAAGTAATGCCCATGCACCCTAATCAATACGCCTACAGGACTGCCATGTCAACTGAGACGGCTCTCCACAGTCTTGTGGCAAGACTGGAGCGAGGGATGTCTCATAAGGAGATGGCCCTGGGTGTATTTCTAGACATGGAAGGGGCATTTAATAATACCTTATTCGACTCTATAAAAAATGCTGCAGAAAGCTTTGGCATAGAAAACACCATTGTCAAATGGATCTGTGTCATGCTGGGAAGCAGAATCATTACAAGCTCGATTGATAGTGCGAAGATCAGATCAACCGTAGCTAGGAGCTGCCCCCAGGGGGGTGTACTGTCGCCTCTGCTGTGGTGCCTGGTACTGGATGGGAAACTGTGTACACTCAACGCGAACGATCTTGTCATCGTTGTGGCTGGTAGGATACACAGCACCATCAAAGGGATCATGCAAAGAGCTCTTAACATGGTGGAAAGATGGTGTAAAAATCACGGGCTTTCCGTAAATCCGGACAAGACCGAGATAGTACCATTCACAAAGCGAAGAAACGTGGACTTGAAAGGACTCACGTTCTTTGTATCGAGACTTGTTCCATCCGGTATGGTCAAATATCCAGGAGTCATCATTGACTCTAGGCTGACCTGAAAAGATCACGTCAACAGGGTCGTCCAGAGAGCCACTGCTAGCCTTTGGACCTGTAGGAAATCCATCGGACGCACCTGAGGCTCACAACCCCACATAGTCCACTGACTTTACACAGCAATGATAAGGTCAATGATCACGTACGATAGCTTAAATTAATTAAATTAAAGGGTGAAATTAAATTAAATTTACGATAGCTTAGTCTGATAGAACGCGCTTAGCAAATCCACCTACAGGGCAAAGCTGGACAATCTCCAACGACTTGCCTGCATGGCTACAAATGGAACCTTAAGAACCACCCCAACGCTGGCAATGAGGCCATACTGGGCATAATGCCTCTCCATCTCTTTGTGGAGGCACAAGCCCGGGAGGCTTCTGTCAGATTTAACGATTGGGGACAATGGGTTCACAAAGGACTGAGTACGGGACATCCAAGGGCCTGGACTGACACCATCAGACAGGACGTTATCCCTGCGAGGGACGACTGGCTAGAGCCTGACCCAGGCTTTCTCAAGCCGAAGGGGCTCATCTAGTATACAGAGAGGTCTCTGACGGGGGAGGGTGCAGGGGCTGGTGTATATGGGGAGAGACCTGTGGCGAGAATTAGTCTTGCACTGTCGATACCCCACGGTATACCAGACTGAAATCTACGCCATACAGGCATGTGCTTAGGAGAATCTCCAGAGAGGTTACTTGGACAAGCATATTTATATATGCTGCGACAGACAGGCAGCACTCCGAGCCCTTGGCTCAGGCAAGGTCAACTCGAGGCTCACGTTTGAATGTATAACTACCTTTAAACTACTCAGTGGGCTCAACAAGGTCACTTTTGTTTGGGTCCCGGGTCACATATAAGCATAAAAGGAAACGAGGAGGCAGACCAGCTGGCTCGTGAAGGTCAAGACTGCCTTTATTGGGCTCGAGCCTGCTTTTGGGGTTGCTTCCTGCCTGGTGAAAGCCAAGATTAGGAACCGGTTTAACAACCGGTTCCAAGACGAATGGCTGGAATATGAAGGCCTCAGAGAGTCAAGGATCTTTATACAAACTGCAAAGAGGCAAAAAGCCTCCTGAAACTAAACAGGAGCCAACTGAGAGCTATCACAGGCGTTCTGTGGGGTGGTTAGATACAACCTACACAAAATCGAACTCAGCAATGAGACGGAATGTAGGTTCTGCAGCGAAGTAGATTAAACTACCAAGTATATTGTCTGCGAATGTGATGCCCTCGTCAGTCGCAGACTAGGATACCTCGGGTACTGCTTCCTGGAACCTGATGATATAAAGCATGTCCGGCCTGAGCGGGTCTGCAATTTTCTTAATAGTTGCGGGCTCCTAAGATAAGACAGGGCTGCACCAAGAGAGGGACAGCACAATGGACCACATGCACGTCTACGTGCTGCCTGTAAAGCCTTTCCTTCCAAATCAATCAATCAATCAACATAAACATTTATGTGACCACCAATTAAGTACTTTTTCGAAACCCAATGTC